TATCCACATTTGAAGGATGCATAGAGCCCGCCAAATTAGGTACCCACTTGCCTTGGGCACTTGTAGAAAGAAATATAAGGTTCAGGTGCCCATTCCTGGGCTAACAATCCTTCCTCCCACTATCATTCCTATCCAAGGTCGCTGGGCCCAGCCGACGACTGTTCTGTTACTTAACGTGGGGACACAAAAGGAGCCTTGGTGGTGGAGAATGTTGCAGCTGCTGGTGATTGCGGAGGCAGGAACACAATCTTGCAAACAGGGCCGTGTTCTCCTGTGAGGAGTTGTGTAGTGTGGACCAAGCACACACTGTCCCTAGACTCTTCCCACCTGCTTAGATTTCCGACACTTCTTAGGAAATCCTGCTCGTGAGGAGAGTTGAAGAGAAAGGTGGAAAGAATGGCCCTCAGCACTTACTAGGTGGGGACTGAGGTTATTGAACCTCAGATGGGCGTGCCAAGGTTCCTGCCTTCCCAGGGACCTGAGGACCCACGTGGCCTCAGAGCCCTGGGTCATGCTGTGGCCAGGGTTTGTCGAAAGCAGGGCTGGCAGGAGCTGGTGTGAACTCACTGGCCCTTAGAGACACCTCACCTCCACCTCCGCTGCCACACAGAAGTCCCCTGGCACCCAGAATACCCAGCTTTTCCCTTCCTCTGCCCTTAAGTGTTTCTTCAGGAAGCAGTTACACCCTTCCCAGGGTGCTTCGTTCTGTACAGGGGTGCCCCAACCCTCCTCCAGCCCACCCCCGTAGGGGCCCCTGCCCTGATGTTTAGGAAAGTGATTGTTGCCTAATCTTAGCAGGTTCCTAGAGTGGGGTCCCCGCTGTTCACTATGGCCTGGCCTGGCCTCCCTCAGTGCGATCTTCAAGCCCTGGCAGTGGACACAGGCCATGTCACCTGGTGTAATTCATACAGATCTGCCTCCACATCCTGCTGAGGCCTGTGGGGAGGAGATTGGGAGGGAACACCTCTCTGCAGGTGCAGAATCCCCAGCTCCCCCTCCCCCCACCATGGCTATTAGCCTGGGGTTTCATCTTGGCCTCCCAGAAAGCCACTTCAATAATTTATATGGATGTTATCACAAACCCACTTCTGGTGTGATGGGAAGTGTGAGGGAGAAGGAGCCACGACCAGAATGCCAAGTAGGGTGGGCAGCCTCACCTGACTGGGGAGGGGGTGGGCTGGGTCTCCAGGCCCTTGCCTGTCAGTCTCTTGTGCTGTGGCTCACCTATAAAACTGGCGAAGGATTCCTGCCCTGGCACCCAGGCCCAGGCACTGTAGCAGCAGGGTTCTGTACTCTTAGATGCAGTCCAAGTTCTGCTCAGGGCTGGCATAGAGAGCCTACCAGGCCTCTTCCTCCCGCCCTCCCTTCTTATCTTCCTCCCTTCCTTCCTCCCTTTCTCCTTCTTCCTTCTGTTCTTTATTCTCTCCTTCCTCCCTCCCTTCCTCCCTTTCTTCTATCCTCCCTTCCCTTCACAATTCGGGGCCTGTGTGCCACATTCCAGGTCTAACAGGGAAGCAAATGGGCCCTGTCCCCACAAGGTTTGAAGTTTTGAATGGATCATCAATAATAACTTACGAAGTAATAGGATTTATTGAGAAACTCAAAGAGGGGAGTTGATATAGGATGAGCTGAGATGGAGCAGCCACCTCAGCTGAAGGCCAGGAAAGAAGGGATATTTCGGGATGGAAGGGGGTGGGGTCAAAGGGGACAGAGGTGGGCGGAGGAAGAATACTTCCTATGATTCCTATGTCCTGTGGTGTCAGGCCATTTGGATAGTCTAGGTGGAGGAGAGGTGCCTGCCATCTTCAGGTGTTGAGGGGCGGTTGGCTGATGGGGTGATTAGTGGACTGGAGAGGAAGGGAATCAGGGACAGTATGCATGAACGGCCCCCGTCATGAGGATAGAGAGCTGCCGTTGTCACGCTGTGACGAGGGCCGTTGGGCTAAATCTTTGCGTAGCCTCCTCCACTATTTTCACAGCGTATGCTTCCCCGGAAGCGATGATGATTAAGAGTCTTAGGATTTGCTGCAGCTCATAGTGTCGCAGAGACAGCGGGAGAGGGCGGGGGCAGCACTTTCTTCAGTCAGAAAGCCCTGGTGCCCAGGGTGAGGGGAGGTGCCCCTCAGGCAGACAGGTGAGTCTGCATCCCTGCTCCAGGCAGAACTTTTTTTTTCAAAAGTCTTAGCGTGTGTTTGTGCATATATTACGTGCCCGTGGACATAATCACAGTGCACACGCAGAGGTCAGAAGACCGCTTTCGAGAGCCTGTTGTTTTACTAGCACTGTGGGGTTTAGGGGCTGAACTGAGGCCATGGATGTTGTGCCCCAAACGTGCTTACCTGCAGAGTCACCTTGATAGCACAGGGGTCTTCGTTCTTCCCTGGGCCTGGGAACGGGCTGCTCTAGAGGGTCTCATTTTGGGATGACAGCCCAGTATTGATGTCCCTGAGGGACAGCTCCGTCACTGGGCTCCTTCTTTATCATCCTTAGCCCCATACCATCCCTCAGTCATCTCCACTCTTCATTCCCATTTTTCCTCCAGACTCTTATCAGTCAGGACCTGGAACCCTAGACAGGGGAGGGACTAGATACCAGCTTGGGGTGGGGAGGTCCTCTTCCACTAGAAACAGGATCTTTACCCTTCAGGCGAAGGGCAAGGCAGATACACTCGCCCCAGGAGGCTTTTCTTCCTCCTCCCTTCCCTGTGGCTGAAGCCAGGCAGGGAGCAGGTTCTGAGACTCGGGACAAGAGGAGGCTGCTTGGGTACATAGAGTCCCAGCAGCCTCAGAGCTGGGCCAGGGCACGTTATCCACATCCAGACCCAGGTCCAGAATGAATGGGCAAGGACTGCAGTCGGGTTCTTGGCTTCTTAGCTAAGTCTGCGAGTCTATTTTCTCAGCTCTCAAATGGGAATAATGGTCAGGCCTCCCTCAGAGAACTGAGATAAGAATAGTGAACTAATAACAGCATGCAGTTATTACAAACAGCTAACAGTTTAAATCACATGTCCTAGGCACTAGGAGTAATCTCTACAAAATGCACAGCATAGCGCTGGTATTCAGAAGGGGCTTAATAAAGGCAGGTGTATGAATGAACACAAATGAGGACAAGTGGCCCAGGCCTTGGGCTCCCATGGCAGGATGTGCCGAGGCCTGTTGGATGCGGAATATCAAGGGTACAGCCTGGGGCTGCTGTAATATGTATCATTACTGTTTTAACCTGTTCCCCATAGTGATTTGCTTTCCACAGACAACTGACCACAACTTCGGATGGTAGTTGGGCCTCAAGCTTGCCGCCCAGGTGCAGCCAAGAGGGAAGGCAGCTCACTGACAGCCCTGCACACACTCTGATCAAATATTTAGGTCCTCAGGGTCGGCCTGCAATATTAATGAAGTGGTCCGGGTTGTAGTCAGTTGAGCGCTGGGGCCTCAATAATGAACAAGAACCTCACCTACCGGAGAAACACGGGTTATTCTAGTCATGAGCAGGACAAAGACACCACAGGGGGGAAAAAAAACAGAGAAGTCCTCAGCAGCCCCTCTCCTTTAATTCAACATATGGTCACCTCGGAGTCACAGTATGGAGTTGGTGACAGGCATCAGGAGAGTTTACTTTTTCTTGATTAGTTTATTTTGACACAGGGACCGTGTAACCCAGGCTAACCTGGAACTCACTACCTAGCCATGAATGACCTTGAACTCCTGATCCTTTGGGTTTCTCTTTCCTGAGTGCTTAAATTACAGGCTTTGCAAGTGTGTGATGCTCTACTCAGCTGTATTATCAGATAAATCTTTGATTTATTTATTTATTTATTTTGTGGTACTGGGCAGTGATCCCTGGGCCTGAGTATGTTGGGCAAGTTCCCTATCGATGAGCTACATTCCAAGCCCTTACGAGACATTTTTTTTTTTTTAAATCCACATAACTGTATCCCTGGGACATTCCTTTCTAGAAATGTGGATGAGGGAAATAACCAGAACAGGGGGGAAATCTTGTATTTAAGAGTATTAATTATTCATAGTAATACGCTGGAAATATCCCAAGTTCTAAACAGCAAGGGATTGGTTAGGGAAATAATAGCATATCATCTTGGCAAATGTTACACAGTCATTAAAAATGCTGTTTACAGATGGGTATATGGTATTAGAACATGAGCAAATGAAAAGAACCCAACAAAAGGTCATGTCCAGTACCAGCCCATTATTAAAATCATTGTTTATATTTCATTTCTCAGGCTTTGGTCTTCTTGTCTGAAAAATAACCACCTTTTGTCAGTTATGAAAAGGAGAGGGGAGCGGGAGAGCTGTCTCAGATGCTGAGACCCCTTGCTGCTCCTGCAGAGGACCTGAGGGGTGTGCCACACCTGCCTGCGACCCCAGTTCCAGGTCGTCTGGCGCTTGGGCACCTGCATGCTTATAGATATGCACGCACGCGTGAGCACACACACACACACACACATAAATAAAAAATAAATCTTAAAAGAAAATGATGATATTTGGAGGTGACCTGGAATAATGGAACAAATAAATATATTCATATATAAATTTTGACAAAATACTGGAAGCCGCCACTCCAAACTATTCTTGGTAGACTAAGGGTTATGACGAGTTTTCTTCCTCTTTTGCCGTCTCCCTACTTTTTACAACATGATAGATCATGTCTGCCACATAGACGTTTCTATGCCCGGCTTTATTTATCCGATAAAGCGTCCTGAGTGGCTACAACATGCCCAGCAGTGAAGGGCACACTAACAGAAGGCATGGTAGGCCACACACCGTGTCACAGGGGCAGGGAGCAGGGTTAAAGCTGGGGGGCACAGAGTAGGTACCTAGGTGGGATTTCTAGGAAAAGCCTGAGGTGAGAACATGTTCCAGGCACATTCAGGAGGCAGAGTTAGTGAATGGGTGTTGGTCTCAGAGAGGACACAGCTACGAGGGTCAGGGCAGAAGGGGCCCAGGGTTTAGGTTTTACCCCAGTGAGCTGACAGCCAAGCAGAGTCCTGAGCCTAAATGTTTTTTGTTTTTATTTTTGCTTGATTTTAGAAACAGGGTCATTTGTAGCTCTGGTTGCCTTGGAACTTAATATGTAGACCAGGCTGGCCTTGAACTTGTGGCCATCTCCCGCCTCTGCTTCTGGAGTGCTGGGATTACAGGTGCTGCCACCGGGCCCACTTTGGGGTTTTTAATTTTGTTTTGTACATATCCAAGGTTTGGACAGGTTCATTGCAGCTGCTCAGCTGAGAAGAAGCAGGTTGGGCATGGGGAACAAGGAGGAGGAAGAGAGGCTCAGGCCTGGCTGGGAGATGGGTAAGATACTGAAGACATGATGGACGGATGTGATGGGAGAGAAAGATCCAAGGCTTCAGGTCTCAGCAACTGAAAAAAAAAACCCATCCCTGCTGATGGACTAGGAGATGAGGAAGGAAATGAGTCTATTTAAAAATAAAACAGGCTTGGGGAGAGAGACTCGTTTGATCTTCAAGGCTCCAGAGGCAACAGGAGCCTGTAGAGGAGTGGTCCAGTGAGAGGCGGGGAGTCGGGAGGGGGAAGGTAGCTGGTCTGGTGAATAATGGAGGAGACTGAGCTTTGATGATGAGCAAATGGCGCTGGGCTGGGCCACCCAGGAGCCCCCAGGGATGCCCACCCCTTACTCCAAAGCCCTTTACCCGGCTACTTCTCTCAGCAGGAACGGTGACAGTGGAGACCCAGGGCCTCTCCTACAGGGATCCAGCCAGGCAAGACTCCTCACCCGGCTTTCCTCCCAGGTGGCCCTGGGTTTCTGCCCTCACACCTTTGGAGACAGAAAGAACACACTAGACAGGAAGAAGGGAGCCCTACCGTGGTGGATTAGCCTCACTCACTGTCCATGTTGCCACTCTCCACTGTTGCTTGGGACCAGAATTCCCAAGGCTTCAGGGAGATTTCAGAAGGTCTCCTTCACCTTACACGGAGGTCCAGGGACGCCAGGCCAGGGAACATTTGAGCGAAGCCACGGGGCTTCTGTCTTTTCTTTTCGATGCTAACTCTCCATCGCCCTCCCACCCGTCCACCTGTCTGTGGAAGACCCATGTCACTCTTTGCCTGCTCACCCGTATTCTACCCCTACCTCAGCCAGAACAACCTGGGCACTGGCTTTGCTACCTCTTAGCCTTGGGTCTGGGATGTACTTCTTGCCTGCTGCACACCTCAGCTCCTTCTTCTGCAAAACAGAGGTGTGTGAGCACACCTACCTCACAGTGGGTGTCATGAGCCCTGAAGGCCTTCTCTGAAGCGTGCAGCCCATACCCGACTGGGGCATTTTCCTGACTTCCTCTAGGCCAAGAGAGTCTGCATTCTCTGCAGCATCCTGTACCCCTCCCTGCCTGCCACTAAACTTGCCCTCCAGCTGTGCTGGCTCTGGAGCCCACACTTCACTGCCCTTCTGGAAGGGCGGGGAGTTGTCCCTGTGAGAAGAAAGGAACAATGATCACCGGCTCACGGTGGACACTGAGGTGCAGTTCCCAGACCAGGGAGGTGGTGGGAATCTCTATTAAGGCCTATTCTTGGGAGGGGAAAGGCTTTGTTAGCTGTAGAGCTCCCTGTAGGTGCAAGCTTTGCTTCCATTGTTAAGGATTGTTTGTTTAATCCTGGGGTCGGCACCACTAGGTGGGAGATGCTACTTTGGCTCCTTTTAGAGAGCAGGAAAGCAATGTTACAACTAGCAATGGGTGACTGGCACCCGGCTCCTTTGAGGCCCCTTCCCAGCCTCCTTCTGTGACTCTGATGTCATCTCTCCCCTCCGAGGCTTGGACTCTGGAGTTCCATGCTGCTGTGGTACCTCAGAACCTCTACCACCATTACCATTGGGCCTCTCAGATACCAGACTCCACCAATCTAAAGGCCATGACTCCCTGTGAACTGCCTCGACTCATAAAAAGCAATTCAACGTGTGCCAAATGGCTGCAGGAGAAGGAGGAAAGCTGCCCCCTATGCTGCTGTGGGAAGCTGACTGAGATGCCCCATGGCAAACACAGTCACTGGCAACCGTAGACAAAAGCTTTCCTTTGCCAAGTGCCCATGTGCCCAGTGCCCACAGCTCAGCTGAGCTAAGGGTTCACAGCCCTGAACACTCTGCCTGTGTGAATGGACCCAGAAGCTTCTCGTCACTGGTGCAGACCAAGTATCCTTCTCCCATGTGCCTTTGCTGTCACAGCCCAGCCCGGTAGGGCTTCTGACTTTGACCCCAGCGCCACACCTTGCTTTACCCAACTGAAAGCAAGAGTGGATAGGCCTAGCATGGTAACCTTGAGCTCCAAAGTAAAGGCTTCAGCCCAGACACGGGAGAAGGAAAGCAGGGAGCAGAGCTAGGTCCAAGCCAACGGGGAAATTTAACTCGTTTAGGGAAGGACTTTACAGAAGCTTTCTAATGCGTTTGAGTAGTGGGTTACATAAGAAAGCAGGATTGCTACTTTTCAGGTTGGTATTAGGGAGGTCAAATTTGACCTGGTCTGAGTCCATGCTGTGATATTCCTGGTTCCAGAAACAGAACCCAATCAAACATCTCTGTGCCTCTCTGAATACCCACCGCCTGCCCTCTTCCATGCCTACCCTCCATCATCCATTAAAACAGTCTACTGTCTGCCTCAGGTGGGTTTCTGTTGCTGTGATAGACACCATGACTGCTGCAACTTGGGGACAAAAGGGTTTGTCTCGTCTTCTCATGACTCTCACATCACACTCTGTCACTGAGGGAAGTCAAAGCAGGACCTGGAGGTAGGAACTGGAGCCCAAGTCCTGGAGGAACACTGTTTTCTGGCTTGCTCCCCGTGGCTGGTTTTGCTTGTTTTCTTATGTAGCTCAGGACCACCTGCCAGGGGACTGGGCCCTCCCACATCAGTCATTAATCAAGAAGATGACCTGCAGACTTGCCTACAGGCCATCGGGTAGAAACATTTTCTCAACTGAGGTTCCTCTTCCCAGATAACTATCTGTGCCAAGTTGACAAAAAAAACCTCAACCAGTTCACCATCTATCCATCTGCTCACTTATCCATCCATCTGTCTGTCCATCTGTCCGTCAATCTGTCCATCCATCTGTCCATCTATCTGTCCGTATATCTGTCCATCCATCTGTTCATCCATCCATCCGTCTGTTTGTCCATCCATCTGTCCATCCATCCATTCGTCCATTTGTCTGTCCATCCATCCGTCCGTCTGTCCGTCCATCCATCCATCCACGTATCCATCACCTACTCATTCAGAACCCTTCCATTCAATACATTGATTTTATACTTTGTCCATTGTCCATCTGGGAACTGTGTGAACTTGGCTTAACAGTAAGTTAAAACCCCAGGTAACTTAAACAGGCCCCAGGAGACAAGCTCGTTATCCTAGTTCCAGATACCAACCTTGTCAATGCCATCCGTAGTGAAAACATCATCTGGGTACCATGAGCTATGCACATCCCATAAAAGCCCCGTGAAGTGGGTTTCATAAGTACATGAGGGTGCCAAGGGTGAGAGCAGTTAAATTTCTCATCCGGATTCCCAACCACACTCATAAGTGTGGGGTTAGGCTTTAAATCCAAACCCACATGACTCCAAAGCCTCTGTCCAATTCCTAAGAGCTCACATGTGATGGGCTTATAAGAGACAGCGTGGGTATGGATATGGGTGTTTGTGCTTCATATATAAGCCACATGAGTGCCCTCATGCCTTACTGGGGTCCACACAGTAAAGTCATAGGGTGGGGCCCTGGGCTGTCCTTGTCTGCAAGCATCCTTGGCAACAAGGCAAGCTTTTGGAAAGGTTCTTGGCATGTCGCAGTGTGAAGTAGTTCCTTACGCAGCTGGATTTAGTGGGGTTGGAACAAGGTGGGCACAGGATATTGGGGACAGCGGTAGTAGTGGGGTTGGAGCGAGGCGGGCACAGGGTACTGGAGACAGCGGTGAGCAGAGTAAATCACCAGGCACAAATGCGTAGGTTTATCCACTACACCCATAATTCTTGCTCTGCTCTGGTATGATCAGAAATGAAATACATCCAAGCTGGACCTGTTCCCACGTGTGGGCCTGGCATCTTCCGGCTTATTTATCCTTCCTAATCCTCTGGGCAATTTATGAAGCCTGCCAAAAAGCCACATGCCACAAGCCTTATGGATCTCTCCAGCAGAGGGCTATCTCTCCTCCCCTGCCATCAGCAAGAGTTGATTTGTTGGTGGTGCCCAGAGACAGGCTGGAGCTGCACACGATCATCTCGGAATTGACTCCGCTGAGCTCAACAGCAATGAATAGGGAGATAAGTCACCAGATGATCTTCAGCACCCCTGCGCTCCCCAGCCAGGTTAGGACTGGCACACACCCCAGCTGCAGCACCTCTGTGCTCCCCAGCCAGGTTAGGACTGGCACACACCCCAGCTGCAGCACCTCTGCGCTCCCCAGCCAGGTTTGGACTGGCATACACACCCCAGCTGCAGCACATTCGAGCTTCCCAACCAGGTTGGGACTGACACACACCCCAGCTGCAGCTGCATCTCATGTCCATGTTTCCTAAACTGTGGATTCAATCAACCAGCGATGGGGAGAAAATTGCATTTGTATTAAACATATACAATTTTTTCTTGATTACCTAAACAATACATTGTGACAGTCATTTACATAGTATTTATAACACATTAAGTACTGTAAGTTACCTAGAGATGATTTAAAGCATGCAGGAGGTTGTGTGTAGGTTATATGCAAATATTGCGTCATTCCGCATAGGGGACTCAAGTAGATTTTGGCATCTGGAAACCAAGAAGCGGACATACTGACATCGATTCAAAGGTTCTCAGGGAAAGATAAGACACTTGTGTGATTCTTAATGTCTGCCATGGTCATGACAAGCAGCATGTATTTGTCACCTGTGACAGATGCCTCTGAGGTCCCCCCACTCTGACACTGTGGCCTTTGTGTGCCCCGTCTGTGTAATAAGGTGATGCTGTTTCACTGTTTCTGGACTTGGGGGTTAGATCAGGACAGAGACTTCCTCTGTGCTTCTGGAACAGCTTGTGCCACTGTTTAGGCTGGGGGTATTTTAAGGACTGACACCTGACTTATCTCTGGGTTCCCGGCAGCCCCCACAGGCCTTGGTACAGAGTGAATATTTGTGAATGAATGGTAACGATGTGGCAAATGAATGAATGAAAATTTTCAACCCCATGAAGTGTCAGAGAAAATCAACTCACCGTTTTCAGAGGTCTTGGAAATGGGAACGGGAGTGTTCGGGGCGCTGGGCAGAGGGGTGAGGACGCAACTGGGGTGCGGAGGGAGTGTTTACCTTATCTGGGAGATAAAGCAGGCCAGGCCTCCAGAGAAGGCCACTAGCCAGCAAGTAGAGACGGCCTCCTGGTCTGCCTCTCAGGGCATTGGGAGCAGGACTTAGGCCTGGCAGTTTGGGTTTTGTTTGACAAAACATGACTGCCCTGTTTCTTCCTCTGAGAGTGGGTGTCACATGTCCCCCTGCCACAAGCTCGCATTTGGGATCACAGCGGTGCAGAGAGGGGGAAATGCTAGAGGGAGAGCCAAACAAACAATTCTCCAATGGCTCCCGTGCTCAGTACATGAGCACATGCACCTACATTAATACATGCGACGTTGCAAAAATGAGACTCTGCACGGCATGCTGTGCCCCGAGTTTGTCACTCAGCGGTGTGTTGAAATGTATTCGTCCGTGTCATCGTTTTAAAGGTGACGAAACTTCAGCTCAGACATGTTGGGTCATTTGCCCACCCATCCACCCACCTGGACTCTCCCTCCCTCCCCTACTTTTTCCTTCTCAGAGGACAGGACTCACTGGAAACACAGGAACAAAGAACTGAGAACCTTGCCATAGGGCAATGCATATGGATGACTTTCAGTGTGGTTTTTGCTTGACTCCGCACTGAAAGAACTGTCTGCGTGAACCAGGTAGTGCTGTGTGCTGATGCGCACAGGTCTGCGGCCGTTTCTTCTGACAAGCCGAAGCCTTAATTGAAAGTGCAGCAGTGCATTCCCGTGAGCTGGAAGATGGCAGGTGTGAAGAAGAGGGGCCGTTGATGGAGAAAGACTATGTCCCAGCTGGCCGTCCCAGCACACCCACAGACTTTGAGAAACAGGGGTCTACTGTTTGCACCCCAAGGTGCCTAGTTCTGTGCCAGTGACTGGCTGATATACCAGCGTGCATTGCTAAGCCACTCAGCCTCCCCGGGCCTCACTTTTCTCATCTGAAAAGTAGAAACAATAACAACTTGCCTTTACTGGACGGTGGTGGCGTGCGCCTTTAATCCCAGCACTCGGAGGCAGAGACAGGTGGATCTCTGTGAGTTCAAGGCCAGCCTGGTCTACAGAGAGCTCCAGGACAGTCAGGGCTACCCAGAGGAATCCTGTCTTGGGGGGAAAGGGAGAAAACAAAACAAGCAAAAACCCTGCTGATGGGGCTCTTGCACGTATCCAGAGGGAGTGAGAGCCGAGAGCAGGATTCAGATTAGCTTCCTAATGCACAGCCTTCAATGAAGTGACATCTTCCACACTGCATGACCCACCAACAGGCCTTGAAATTGGCTTCGTATGTCACCATTAGCATTTCATTTTGATAGACTAGGCTAAGGGAGAAACGTATTGTCATACGTCACAACTGGGAAGGGTAAATATTACTTTATAGCACTGTTCTCTCAGTGTGTGTGTGTGTGTGTGTGTGTGTGTGTGTGTGTAAAACATATTTTCTAGTGTCACAGACAAAAAAATATGTGAAGGGGTCTGACCCAAGTGTAGCAGCTGCCGAAGTCTTACCGAGTGGGTGGATGTGCATAGCATACAGCAAGCACCCAGGAAGTAGAGTCATCGTTAATACCATTGTGTTGTGATGTCTCTAGCAGTTTCTAGTTTTCACTTCATTTATGTAGTAGGGAGAGGGCGCTTGTTTGTTTCCTGGCTGCCCAGACCCTGGAAATAATCACACAGAAACTATTAATTAAATCACTGCTTGGCGCATTAGCTCTAGCTTCTTATTGGCTAACTCTTACATATTAAGTTAACCCATTTCTATTAATCTGTGTATCACCGTGTGGCTGTGGCTTACCAGCTAAAGTTCCAATGTCTGTCTCCAGCAGGGCTACATGGCTTCTCTCTGACTCCGCCTTTCTTTCTCCCAGCACTCAGTTTAGTTTTCCCCACCTACCTAAGTTCTTCCCTGCTATAGGTCCAAAGCACTTTATTTATTCATTAGTGGTGATCACAGCATACAGAGAGAAATCCCACATCACATTTACTCATTCATTTCCTTATTCAACTACTCAGTAGACATTTGTTGACTATGGAAGGAGGGGAACATAAAGGCCACCAGAGTGTAGGCCATCTCTTTGCAGAGTTGTTAGTTTTATAGTACTGGAGACTGAGCCCAAGGCCTTCTGTATGCAAGGCTATTTTCTTAGCCCTCTAAAAAGTTTTCATTTTGACACAGGATCCCCCTAAGTAACCCAGACTGGCTGTGACCTCACTGTGTATCCTAGCCTGACCTAAACTTGCCATGCAGGTCAGGTAGGCCTTGAACCTGTGATCCTCCTGCCCCAGCTACTGTAGCTGGGTTTACAGGTCAGCACCACCCTACTCTGCTTTGAGGATAGTTACTGACTCCTTAAGACCATTCTAGTGAAGAGTTAAAAAAGAGTTCAACATCTGGGCCTGGTAGCCTGAGTCTGAATCTCCTGCTTGCCAGCTGTGTGACCTTGGACCAGTTACTTCTCGGTGCATGCTTCCTCCATAAAGCATGGGTAGGGGGCACACAGGGTATCCAGGAGGCAGAATATTACAACAGGGAGATGTGTGAACTCTTACCACTGTTCTCAAAATTCAAATGTGTGACCTGAAGGGAACCTGGGAGACTTGTAGATGGCAGGGGACACTTTGTGCTGAGTTTGTTGAATAGACCGACTCTTGGCCAGTAAATAAAGCCTTGAGTACTTAGGAATGGTAGCCAAGAGAGAAGGAGCAGTTTCTCTCTGTCCCCGGTCCTGTGGTTTCACAGAGAGGGAGCCAGGCTCCAGGATGACAAGGGACTTGGACTTCTGACTTCCCTACTGCCCTGGGGAGACATGAGGAACCAGGCAGCATTTTGGGGGGAGATGGGGGTGCCTCTCCCCTCAGTGCTTGCTCTATGGGGGTCAGTAGCCTGCGCCATGCCTAATTGGACTTGGGAACACTTGAGGCAAGGCAGTCACTTGAGTGGCACTTTTTGGAATGATGAATGTGCATGTTTAGATCTGAATGAGACCGAATCAGCAGATACAGCATCTCGCTGGAAACTGAAGGGATGGAAAACTCGCCTTTTCTTCCTTGGAAAAAAAAAAGCATGATTTTTTCCAATTGCAATTAAATAGCCCTTTGGGCTGATTTTGCTTCTCTCCTGCTGACATTGAACAATGCCAGACAAAGACAGCAGCTCTGTCTGCTCTCCTTGAGATGAGCCTGCAGGGCTGGGGAAGCCACCACCGCCACCACCGCCACCACAGTCTCTCAGGAAGACAGCTGACCAATGCCACAGCTCAGGCGGTGAGGGCTACTGACACCAGTTTGGGCTGTGGCTTCCCAGACTCTGCGGACAAGGCTCTCAGGCAATTGAGAACTCCCACTTAAAGTCACCATGAACCATCCCTACCCATGGAACCTCGGAATAGACCTACCCTCTTAGATCCTCACTGAGGGCCTTAAGGTTTTGAGAACAGATTGTGGCAAACAGCCTTTATGGGGTCCTTCAAGCCTAGTGTGGGTTAAATGGCATGAGAGCTTGCTTTGCACCTGAATCCTCGCCCATCAGTTCCAGAGTGAGACACGA